ATATATATATATATATATATATATATATATATATATATATATATATATATATATATATATATTAATAGGAGAGGATATTGATCTAATCCTGTGAAGGCCATTAGTTTATTATTATGCAAAAAAAAAAAAAACAAGGTTGCAGTATCCCTTTGGTTTAATATCTTATCTGAGATCATTCTCAGGGTCAGGTTCAGGGATGAACAATTTACCTGCTTGAATTTCCACAGTGGGAATTTCATCTTGTGCAAGACTCCCATTGGTTAAACATGGTAGAATACTCTCTGTACCATTAGAGCCAGAGAAATGTGACACTGTTGTCTCGTATTTGTACCTGTGGAAAACAAACACATATTTGGCACAAATTATTTGTCTTATAATTTGAATCTAGAAACATCCTTGTTGACACAAATACGGAAACTAAAGGGGTTTAAAGAGTAGTTGACCAGTTAAACTTACAGTCCTTGGAAGAAATGTGGTGCCGCAGTTATGAAGGATCCCATGGCCATAATGAAACATCCAGCTCCTATGAGTCGTGGTCTATGAAGCTTAGCACCAAAGTAACTCACAAAAGCTATTACAAACAGATTACCTGAAAAGAACATAAAATGGTATCCTATTGAAATCACAGATTTTGAGAAGATGATTATTTCATATGAATTACAATGTGATTTCATATGAAACTACAATGTGATTTAGATGGAAAAGTATGATATTTAGACAAATTAAATGTATGAAGGTGCACCCCCCACTCCCACCTACTTATGGGGCATTAGAAGACTTACAAGTGAGAGAATACACATTTGCCACCAGTTCACCAAAATGCAAAATACTACTTATAAATTGGCATGAGAGTGTGTGGGTATATAAAGGGTTTTGTTTTTTTACTTTCCGCTTCAATTAGACCCAAAATACATTTTTTGTTTGTTTGTTTGTTTTCCTCACCAATTTCAAAACTTCCATCAATAAATCCAATCAGTGAGCTGGGAATGTCAAAACGTCTCTCAATCTGTGTGATAGAGCTCTTCATGTAGCTGCCCTGAAATGCTTTGGCAAAGTACACAAAACACATGGCAGCCAAAAACATCTGAAGAAGACACACAAACATGTGGTTAACAATTCATGCACACTAAACTATATTTTTTTACTTTTCTTAAGAAATACTAAGTCACCATTTTGATGCTATTCTGAGTGGTCCCTAACATGTTGCTAAGCTGTTTTTAGGGTATTCAGAGTGGTCGCTAATTTTTTATATGCTGTTTTGAGATATGCCATATTAATGGCTTGGTACGGTATTTCAACCCAATCTCTGTATGCGAAGCATGAGTAGATCATATGAAAACATACTAATGAGATTTACATACTAATGTACTAATGGACCAATTCACCAAAACATGAAATAGATATGAATTTCCATTAGTGTGTTGGGTATTTTTTTTAATAATACCCGACTTGTTTAAGATGAATAGGTAAATCCTATTCATCTTAAACAAGTCTAAACTAGTTCTTAGATATTTTAAGATGGACTGAGTTGGTGTAGGTTGGTCTTTACAGTCTGATCTTCAGCTGACCACCTGAAACAAGCCAACAAACCAGTTTGACTAGTGAAGACTTAACCGTCTTATTCTAGTTTTAGCTATTTAGCTGCTCTACCATAACTGAATCAAACTTAAGTACTTTTTGTAAATAGTTTTGTGGAACCAATGGCAATCACTCACAGGTTGCCTATTAAAAAAATACCAATTATTTTGTTAATGAGCTACAATAAATGTAAGTTTATAAGAGATGTGTCCTTATCATTGTTCTTATCATAATAGAAGTGAAAATATTGAATTCAGTACTTATTCAACACAAGACAAATGACACATTTTGATGAGTAGTAAAACCATTTTCTAACTATTTGTACTACTATCAGATTGCCATTGTATGTTCAGTTACATGAGTTAACTATTAAAGTTGCAGTTTGGGTCAGAAGTCATGCAATTGATTGGTTTACACAAAAGGAAGTACACTAATCATCAACTGCCACTAAAACGGTGACTCTGCTCCAAACCTTGACCTTCTAGAGACTCATTTTCTTTAAGCGATAAGGTCAGGAAATTGTGTAGTAGAATATTGTTTTGGAATGGGAAGATCCCCATGGATTGAGTAACCTTTGTGCAGTTAAGTAACTTTTTTTTTTTTTTTTTTTTACCCCATTGATTTTCACTGTGTCGGAATATTCTTCTAAATATCTTCTTTTGTTTTCCACAAAAGAAAGAAGATCAAACATGGAATTGAGGAAGATCAAACATTGGAATAACACGAAGGTAAGTAAATGATTAAACACATATATATTTGTGCAAACTGGTATCTATGTATCTGATATTTATTTATTTATTTGATTTTTTTTTTTGGTACACTGAATACAATACATACGGTGGCCACAAAAATGTTTTTGGACACTGAAGCCTCATTTAATGCATGAATTAGGCAACACAATATCAAATCAAGTTGTAAATTAATGATGCTGAAGTGATTTATGGTGGAAGTATGAAGGCAGTTCCCATCAAGTTCAAACAGGTGTCCAGAATAAGCACAGGTAGTTAATGGCATTATCTATGAACATGATCCACTAATGTTGAAAACCAGAAATGGTCCAGATATCAATTGTCAATATATATGCAATATACATTTATAGTTTTATGATATTTTTTATTAGTTTTCAATGTTTTACTCGAGACGTGCTTATGCTATTTAAAACACATGCCAAATTGTTTAATATTTAACATGCAATGAAATTTACACATTTACACAAATTTTAGAAGATCAGCTGAAACTGTGCAGAGAAAGTCAATAGAAAGTAATTGCATAGTGATGGGATTAAATGAGCTGTTATCACGTTCATGTCTTTGATCATAATGGGCCAATGTAAACAAGAAACTGAAAAGCAGGAGAAGATAAGTCAAAATTACCTTTAATTTGGAGCAGCATGGCTCTCGTGCCGTCTTCTTTTCCACACTCATGATGCTCTGGAAACAATATGTATGACAGATGACAGAACAGTGCAGAGCGTCTTAACACCAGGATCATTAGGAACAGCATCACATTATTGTCATGCAAACAGCAGGGTCCATTGTTTGCAGGAGTAAGCAAACATCATCTGAGGGGAAAGGCCCCCGAGGGTGGAGCTGAGAGTGGATTCAGAAAGTGCACCACATTTCCTGCAAGAGGAAGGGTGTTTGAAAAAAATCAAAGTTTTCAAGAATTATGGACAGCAAGGCAAACTTTGATGATGTTGGTTTGATGCTGAAGACAATGAAATGTAATGTGGGGAATGTTTTTTTTTTAAAGAAAGTAAAAGAAAAGATTACAAAAAAATAAAATAAAAACACAATCAATTGTTTTAGTAATGATTGGCAAAAGAAAATAAGTGTTTATTTAGGATAAAAAAGACCAGGGATAGTTGGTACAAGTTAACAAAAAAAGGTTTTGAACACAATAAAATTGCACAGATATGCAATCAGGCAAATATCAACAATATAATGAAGGCAAATTTTTTATGAAAAGTGCAAATGGGATCAATATTGAATTGTTTGCATAAATGTCAGTTAAGTTATCACTTAAATTAAATTAAATGTATTTATTTTTAAATTGTATATATATATTTTTTTTTTTTGGACAAAATAATGACAAAATAATGGTTTGTCAGTTATTTGCATGCTACCTTTTGTATTTTATATAAAAACATAACTCTTTATTTTTTATGAAAATCACATAATAAGCCATATAATGCCAGACTGGCCACTGTAACCCTTATAGTATGACAAGCTTTTACAGAAAAGTAATAAATAAATAAAACTAAAAATATTCACAGATGTGACAAAAAGCCCTGATCATGTGCATAGTATAACAGAATACAATGCATATTAATACAGCTAAATCATCTCTGCAACACATGAAAACAGGATCTTTTTTTATAAACAAGACAAACAGTCAGACAGTAAGAGCTACAGAAATCAAACATACCTGTGCTGTTGCCTGTGTCCCTCAGAATGGATGGAGGACTCTGGCACTTTGCTCACAGGTAAGGCTTTATCATTCAGAGTCATGACATCTAATCAGTAACAAAACAATCATGTCCATCTGGTGATCATGTCAACAGGTCACTTCTCTACAGCGAGGGGGCTGGGGTTTCTCAGAGGTACAGAGGACAGAGCAGACCAATGCTGTCTCATATGCTTTGGACCAACAGAGACGGAATGTTGCAGTGAAAAGTTTCGGAGGGCTATCTATCTATCTATCTATCCAACATAAAATTAAAAATACAAGTATCAAATTTATGTATTATTGTTTTCAATATTATTATGAATTATGAATCCATAAATTGGATTACAAAAGCCTCTGAGGTCTTGACACCTGCTATCAGGTTACATGTTTGATTTGGTCATGAAATCACATTCAGAGTAAAGTAATAATTTAAATATATTGCACATAATTGTGGTAGATTTATGGTAAAACAAAATAAAATAGTGATTATTATTTAAACAGGAAAAAGCATTGATTTTGGCACAGACAGATGACTGACAATCAATGAAGCTGATTCACTTAAAACATGATAAAAAGCACAAATGACAGAAATGTGTTAGTTTGGCTTGAAACTAAATCATCCCACACATCAGCAGCTAATTATTATTTGTGCATATTCAACACACACAACGAAGGTAATCACATGTAACATTAACTAACATTTTCATACATTTGTGTGTCAGGTAAACTTAACCTTTAACCCTGCATTCACAGCGTGTGGTATGTCTGTATGTGAAGTGGGTCAGAGAGTTTTTAGTGCAAGTCAGCATGATTTTTCACATCTCATAACTTCTCTCCTTACAACACTGGTGACTCAGTTCAAGCTGCAGCATCCCATTAGTATGAACCAACATGCAAGACAACACAACCCATAAAGAATTTAACTCAGAGGCCATATATGCAAATGTTACATTGACTTTGTCCATTAAGACTAAAAGGCATGATTCAGTAACAGAGCTACAAGGTTTGTAAAATCAGAGATAAAGCACTAAACTTTTGTACAATATTATTAATGTTTTTTTTGTCTTGTTTTTTTGCACTGAAGTACATAATGAGGCTAAATTCATCCAAGACAAAGTGTCACATTTCCAAGACACCTGTTTGAAATTAAAATTATGCAAATCTGATTTCAAAAGAATTTTGAAATTTAAAAACTGAAAAAAAAATAATTTAATAAATAACAATTTTAAAAAATTGAAACCCGATTTGTAGTAAAGATAATAATAAAAAAAACAAAACAAAATACATTCATACAACCCACACACTTTTCAACAGGCATTTTGGTCCTCATCAGCATGAACCCTTGACAGTGCATCGGCTACAATGTTATCCGTACCCTTCTTATACCGGATGTCTAAGTTAAACTCTTGTAAAAAGAGTGCCCATCTCATGAGGCGTTGATTAGTGTTAGACATACGGGCAAGAAATACCAGAGGGTTATGATCAGTGTGCACCACGATGCAATCACCAGAACTCAAATATACCTCGAAGTGCTGAATAGCCAACAATAAAGCTAGAGCTTCCTTTTCGATGGTACTATAGTTCTTCTGACATCTATTGAACTTCTTTGAGAAGTAACTCACTGGATGTTCAATACCAGCCTCATCAGCCTGCGTCAGCACCGCGCCAGCACCATTGGCACTCGCATCCACCTGCAGAACTGCGAAGTCTACTTGGACGACGTGAAAGTAAGTGACACCAACTATCTACTTAGAACACCAGATGGTAGAAAGAAAGCACAGTTGTGCCACGTTAACATGTTAAAACCCTATTATGCGAGCGATCAATCAAATGTGTCGGCCAGGGCCTTAATGGAGGTGGCTTCTCCCATTTCCCCGGCTGAAGAAGAGAAGGGAACTGAAGAGAATGTTTCCGCTGTGTCAGGAAACCTGCAGAATTCCAGTATTCTTAGAGATCTGAATGTCTACTAAGGTAATTTGCCGGTGTATCAAAGGGAAAGTATTGTAAATCTGATTAACAGTCACTCTAATATTTTCTCAAATGTTCCATCTCGCACTAATGTACTAACTCATGACATCGATATTGGGGATGCATCCCCAATAAAACAGTGTCCGTACAGGGTGAATCCCCACAAGTGTAGCATCATGAAAGACGAGGTGGAATATATGCTTCGTAATGGGTTGGCAGAACCTAGTCAAAGCGCATGGAGTTCGCCCTGGTTGTTAGTCCCTAAGGCTGATATGCCTTTCTGATATTGTACATATTTCCAGAAAGTTAATGCTATCTCTAAGCCAGATTGCTTTCCTTTACCGAGAAAAGATGACTGCATTGACAGGGTAGGCTCTGCAAAGTTTGTGACAAAACTTGACTTACTGAAAGGATACTGGCAGGGGCCAATCATTCCGCATGCTGCTGAGATTTTGGCATTTGTCACTCCAGACCACTTCTGTCAATATTCTGTGATGCTGTTCGGGATGCGGAATGCACCCTCCACATTTCAACGTCTCAAGTACTTGGTATTACATGATGTTCACAACTGTGATGCATACCTCGATGATATTGTTGTGTACTCTTCCACGTAGGAAGAGCACATTGGAAGTCTACAAGAGGTGTTCTCCCGATTAACTAATGCACCTTTGACCGTGAACCTGGCCAAATGTGAATTCACTAAGGCCTATGTCACCTTTCTTGGTAAACGTGTGGGTCAGGGACAAGTTCGCCCAGTCGATGCCAAAGTGTCTGCTACTGTATAAGTGTATAAATTTCCTAGACCTTCTAACAAACACAAGTGGCGCCGTTTCCTTGAGATGGCCGGTTATTATTGGGGGTTCTGTCATAACTTTGCAAGTCTTAATGCACCCCTAACAGACCTCCACCGGCCGTCCCAGACTTTCAGTTGGACCCCTGCGTGTGAACATGCTTTCACCGGAGAGAAAGATCTTTTGAGTAATGCACCAATTTTGGCCTCCCCGAATTTCAGTTGTCCCTTTTCGCTTGAAGTTGATGGAAGTGCTGAGGGTGCGGGGGCTGTCCTTTTACAAAACTCAGAAACGAACATTGAGAAACCTATTTATTACTTCTCGAAAAAGTTCAGTCGCACCCAGTGTAAATACAGCACCATTGAAAAGGAAGTGCTTGCCCTATTGTTGGCGGTGAAACATTTTTAAGTTTACCTTGGTGGTTCGACATTCCCAATCAAAGTTTACAAAGACCAAAATCCATTAGTTTTTCTCAATCGTATGTACAATGCAAATCAGCATTTAATGCGTTGGTCTCTTGCACTTCAAGAGTTTAATTTAGAAATTATCCATAAATGAGGCAGTGAAAATGTGATTGCCGATGCGCTATCCAGGGCTCATAGTTCTGAAAGTGCAGAATAAGTTTTAATGAGAAAGAGAATGAGGAAAAATGCATAATCTTTTGGGAGGGGAGGAGTGTTACGTGCTTTGACATGGTTTGTGTTCTTGTGTTGCATATGTGTGGGGTTTGGGATTTTTTCTGAGAAGTGAACTTGGTCACCTGCGTTGGTGCCCTTACAAAGGGTCCCTTACTGCATACAAAATTAATTATACACTTCAATTAAAATATATGTTTTGGTAAGGTCCATTGTTACATATGGTTTGCATTAGCATGTAGCTAAATCCATTAGCTTAAAACTGAAAATAAAAATCTAAATAAAAGAATAAACACAAACAAATGCAGACCTTTGACTTACTATGAATCTTATTCACGAAACAAAACAAAAACAAAATAACATTGTAAAATATTCATAAAAGTATTTTATGCAAATTTATTCTGCTTACGTTTCATAAATGGGCCCATCTTTTATTTTTAAGACACATTCTAAAATATTACTTAGGGAAAATACTAATCAAAATTGGGACACATCATGTTACAGGAATTTTATTGGCCAAAACTTGTGTTTTCTATGTGCATTTGATTTTGTAACTTAATCTCCAATAATGAAATGCTTTAGTAGTAGACTTTTAAAGCATGTCTATCTTTTTATAACATTCCACTGTGTTTTAAAGATTCATGTGTCCTGTCCTGAGTGTTCAAATGATATCTGTCAAGGTGGGTGAGAAAGATTTTATTTTAAACGATTCAAGCATTCCTACAGTTCAAGCCCTGCTTCATATTTCACCTCGCAATTAAAATATTGAGTTTCAAGGGGAAAAAATGCAAGTACACCACCTTTGTCTAAAATTTTTCACAGTGTTCCTGTGCCCTGCAATATCTGTGGTTGGTTTATATTTGCTTCATTTATTTTTCTATCATCTCAAACTATTTAGAATTCCTCTTTTATCATCACATTTACTCACGTAGATACTGGATTTAACCAATGACGATACACATCTCTGTCCACATCAGAATTCGTCTCATGCACTGCGAAAGCCTTGGGTTGCACTCCTAACACATCATTTTCACCACCGGCTCTCTTAAAGGAGAAGTACATATACATGCAATAATTAATTTCTTATTACGTTTATTTAAATATAAATAGCACATAATTATCCATCAATAATTATTCCAAAATCTGTAACTAATCAAACTAAATATTACTGATATAATATAGTGGCCATAACATTTCCAACCACTAATTATTATTTTGGGAATATTCTAAACTATGAAAGACCTAATTACCAAATTACCTATATTATAATTGCTGCACTAATTAATTTTGTTGGCAAAATTGACTTTGCTAATTTTCCTTAAAAAAATCAATGCATTATGCTGATATTGTCTAAGGGTGCTTTCACACTTGGTTCGATTGCTTCCTCCTCCCCCTGCCCCCGCTGGACTGTGTTCATATTATAATAATTGGGTCCGAACCGCGGTTCATTTGCGTCATCAAGCCATTAGCTGTTTCCCCGTCGCTTAGTAGTAACGGCGCAGGAAAAGGCGGCAAAATGCATAGTTGCTCTCTTCATTTTTATATATTTATGTTTTTGAACCATTGGATTTGTTTCCAAAAGCTTCAGTACATAACGGCACTTACACCTATCTTACGAATGTACTGCAAATGCTCTAAAGAATGCTAGGCTCCCTAAGGCGAACAGA